AGTGGGAGAGGGAGAAGCAGGCTTCCCGCTGAGCAGAGAGCCTGATGTGGGGCTCGATCCCAGGACCCTGGGATCACGACCCAAGCCGAAGGCAGGTGCTTAATGACTGAGCCACCCACGTGCCCCAGGACTTGATCTTAAGACCCTGAGATCACGACCTGACCTGAAATCAGTAGTCAGATGCTTAACCGACTGTGTCACCTAGGTGTCCCAATAATAATAATAATAATTTATGATTGTTTAGGTTTTCATGCACATTCATGAACATTTTTTTCTGGTGTGTGTGCAAAATGGTGGTTTTATTAAAGCATGGGGACAGGACCTGTGGGCAGAAAGAGCTGCTACACATTCATGAGCATTTAAGGAACAATTATTTTGTGCCAGGATCTGTACAAGGTGGTGTAATGAAAGTAAACAATTATAATCAGTTGCATGTTGGTAAATGTTTAACAAATATCCTTCAGGGGCACCTGGGTGGCTCAGTCGGTTAAGTGTCTGACCTGGACTCAGGTCATGAGAAGGGGTCCTGGGATCGAGCCCTGCATCAGGCTAGGAGCCTGTTTCTCCCTCTCCCTCTGCCTGCTGCTCCCCTTGCTTGTGCTCTCCCTACCCCACCTCTCTGTCAAATAAATAAAATCTTTAAAAAAACAAAAAACAAAAAAAACCCACCCAAATATCCTTCAGATTCACAGATTAATCTCAAATGCCTTGGGCCAGGGATGTCTATAGATTAAGTTAGAAAGCCAGAGAAGGTTGTTTTAGGAGTCTTCCCTTTCTCCAATTCCTAGTCTAATTCTCCTTTCCCAGGAGCTCAAGATATTTTCCATTCTCTCTCTATTCTTCTCTTCCTCAAATCAAAACCTCTTAACTTTAAGTATACCAAGAAAAATAGTCTTCACCATTTATAATCTAAGTCCAATGGACTCTTTCATTTTTATATTTTTATATCATTTCATGAGTTATTTATACAAATTAGAGTAAAGGGATATTCAAAGTTGTTATAAAAAGAGTAAGCTGTTATAAAAAGAGTAAAGGCATAATGGAAAACAACTTTACTGGAAATTTAAGTAACTATGTAAATATAGCAAATCCTAATTTTTATTCCATATTTTCCTGGTTTTGAAGACATATCCAAAATGTGCAATGTCCTCTGAATGCAACTGTGATGCATGAGTCTGGAACATATCCATCTTGTAAACAGTGATTGCAGATTTCAAATGCTTCATTACTATATCCTAGCTAATTGTTACTTCTGGTTCTTTGTGCATTTGTATCACCAAAACACAGGACCTGAAGAGTTTTTTGAGACCTTTAAAGGCTCATAATTTTGTTGAAAAGAGGACAGCCATCATTTTTGCTCCCTAATTGCAAAACTTTTGTATTTTTAGTTTTATAAATAAGCAACCCAAAGAATTAAATTTTTTTTTAATTTTTAAAATTATTTATTTTTAAAAAGATTTTATTTATTTATTTTGACAGAGAGAGAGAGCGCGCAAGCAGGGGAAGGGGCAGAGGCAGAGGGAGAAGCAGACTTCCTGCTGAGCAGGGAGCTCAATGCGGGGCTCAATCCCAGGACTCTGGGATCATGACTTGAGCCGAAGGCAGACGCTAAACCAACTGAACCACCCAGGTACCCCTAAAATTTTTTAAAAGATTTTATTTATTTATGAGAGACAGAGAAGGAGAGAGAGAGCAAGCATGCAAGTGAGGGGGGAGGGGCAAAGGGAGAGGGAGTGAGAGAATCCTCAAGCTGACTCCCTGCTGAGTGGGGAGCCCAATAGGGCTTGCTCCCATGACCCCACAGTCACAACCTGAGCTGAAATCAAGAGTCAGACTACTCAATTGACTGAGCCACCCAGGCACCCCAACCCGAAGAATTTTTAATTTCTAGGGTATCTATTTCCTTCCTATCATCTTAGTATACACGACTACCATATTAGCATTTGTCTACTTAAGAATCATATCAAGTAAATTTATCCATATAAACATCATAAAAGAACACGGTCATGAATAACTTGATTATACAATATTTTGCAAGAATAATCAGGACGGTCTCATTTTGCTAAGAGCACATACCAAGTTATTCCTTTTGAATAAATAACTGGATAAAAATAACATATTTCAGGGCGCCTGGGTAAAAGGGAACAGATAAGTGGGGTGGTGTAAGTTGTCTTTAATGTAGTATGCATTACCAGGTTTAGTGATCACATAGATCATCATAGATGACATGTTTATAAAAGTAGAAAGTCTGAAAGAATTTATATACTACTTGTTGGAATTAATATGTTAAGTTGTCAAGTCTTCTAGATCAAGGTCAATATACAAAATTCAACTATATTTTTGTATACTGGTGGCAAACATAGAGAAAACAACATTACAAAGATATAATATAGGGGCACCTGGGTGGCTCAGTCAGTTAAAAGAGACTCTTAAGGATAGAGAACATAGGGTTGATGGAGGGAGGTGTGTGAGGGGATGGGCTAGATGGGTGATGGGCATTGGGTGTTGTACGTAAGTGATGAATCAGTGAATTTTACTCCTGAAACCGATATTGCACTGTATGTTAATTAACTAAAATTTAAGGGGCACCTGGGTGGCTCAGTCATTAGGTGTCTGCCTTCGGCTCGGGTCGTGATCCCAGGGTCCTGGGATTGAGCCCCCATCAGGCTCCCTGCTCAGTGGGAGGCCTGCTTCCCCCTCTCCCACTCTCCCTGCTTGTGTTCCCTCTCTCACTGTGTCTCTCTCTGTGAAATAAATAAATAAAATCTTTAAAAAAATAAAATAAAATTTAAATACAAATTGAAAAAACTAACACACAAAAAAAGAAATAATATTAACTCATTGATACTTGAGTTTGAGAAATTCTAGGAGATAGTAATCTAAAGATTCACAGTTTGGAGCGCCTGGGTGGTTCAGTTGGTTAAACGTCTACCTTCATCTCAGGTCATGATCCGAGGGTCCTGGGATCGAGCCCCACATTGGGCTCCCGGCTCAGCAGGGAGTCTGCTTCTCCCTCTGCCCCTGCCCCCCTCCATGTTCTCTCTCTCAAATAAATAAGATCTTAAAAAAAAATAAAGATTCACAGTTTAAGATTTTACTATCATTATCAGGATCTAGATTGCTGTTCTCTGTATCTCTGCATTCATCTTCCAAATTCTGAATTCTTACTTATATTTATTGAAAACTAAAAGCATGGTACAAAAATCTTGAAAAATGCTGCAGTACTTTGAGCATTACAAGAAGAAAATGCAATATGACCTACTTCACTACTGTATTATCTTTGGTAATTCTATTGTTCTTCCATTTTCTTATTATTTTAGTCTTTTTAATTTAATTTAAATTTTTTAAAAGATTATTTATTTATTTATTTGACAGAGAGGAAGAGAGAGCACAAGTAGGGGAGGCAAGAGAGGGAGAAACTGGCTCCCTGCTGAGCAGGGAGTGGGATTGGATTTAGGGCTTGATCCCAGGACTCTGGGATCATGACCTGAGCCAAAGGCAGATGGTTAACAGACTGAGCTATCCAGGCACCCCTATTTTAGTTTTTTTTAAAGAGCTTGAATAATTGATGGGTAAATAATTCCATGGATGATGAATTAGCAGAATATTTCCAGATATAGAAAAATAAGATCAGTAAGGTCCCATGATATATTCTAGATTTATAAGAGTCCAGTGAACCAATAAGGCAATTACAATAGATTAAGTTTTATTCTATTTTTAAAAATTATTTTCTCTGTTCTTTGGAAGACCTCTAAGAAAGAATAAAAGTCATGAAATATGGATTCTTATACACAGAACTCCAAAAAAAACCCCCCAAAACTAAATTTGGGTCCAGTAGATCTTGATGCTATAACTCATTCATATTTTTTTTTTTAAGATTTTATTTATTTATTTGAGAGAGAGAGAATGAGAGACAGAGAGCATGAGAGGGAGGAGGGTCAGAGGGAGAAGCAGAC